TCTTTCCAACAGAGCGCACTCTGGGGGGGTGCTGCCCGAGGCGCACCCGCAGCCCCGCGAGCTGCGCCACCGAAAAGGCCCTTCGCTCCAGGAGAGGTTGTCGAAGCGGAGGTGGACGAGACTGCCCCGGTCGGGCGCCGGCGTGCAAGCACTCCCCCGGCACAGCGCCGACAGCGCCCAAGGGTTACCTTAGTCCCAGCCGCGAGCAATCCTGCCGTTGATCGCACAGCCGCCTCTTTGAGAATCAATCGGCCACCGCCGCGGCCACCACCCAAGCAGCGGCCAGCGGCGGCAACACGGTCAGCAAGACCGACTCTGGAGGCACAAGAGGAGCCAGGGCCGCGAGACCGCACAAGGACTCCAAGGCGTTTCGAGACAGCCCCCCCAGAGCGTGCTGCCGAGGCGCACGGGGTAAGAGCGGCTCGTGGCCACCAAGGCGCAGGGCACCGTCTCAGTCAGAGGGTGCAGCTTCTGAAGGGGACACACCTCGTTCCAGCGCACCGGTGTCCTGGAGCGACCTTCCTAGAAGGGAGCGAGAGCGCCTGCCGGCAAAGGTACCGCCCACTGACAGGCAAGGCGTCAGGTACAAGCCGGCACCAGAGTATTTTTCAGGTCGCGTTCCTCCGAAGAATCCTCAGTACAAGGGGCCGCCCCACGAGGTGTTTGTGAGGCAGGTCGCTGGCAAGGAGGGCCCCGCGAGCCGACCAGCAGGCAAGCCACCGCCCCCACAGATATCGGGCAATAAGCAGAAGCTTGCTTATCACGCGTGGGCCCAGCAGCAGAGAGAGGAGGAGGAAGCTCAGGCCGCAGCCGAAGGCGCGGCAAGCTCCAGCCGAGTGCCCAGGGTGCTTGCTTCGCGCACCGAGGCCACAGTCGTTTTCGATTGGCACAACGTGCTGGACAAGGCCTGGGTGGAGGGCAGAGGCTGCACTTGGGATACAAGGAGAGGGTGCCACGGGTACTTCAAGCCCGCCTTCACGGAAGCGCTTAGGGCATTCGTTGAAGAACACAAGCCCCTTTGCGTCGCAATCCTCTCTTATAGCTCTCGTGCCTCGGCCCCTTGGTACGAACATCATTTCCTGAAGGAAGCAGCTGAGCATCTCGTTCGAGATCTCCCGTCATCTTCTCGCATACGCTACGGGCAGACGTACCAACGTACTGGCCCTGACGGGAAAGCCCAGCAGCTATCGCAAATCACGCCACCAGCGTCGCTCATCATCGACGACAACAAGGCGATTTGCAGAGAGTGCCGCAAAACAGGCGCACTAGTGGTCCAGGCGGACAAAGGGGGAGACATCGACCAGATTCTTTACGAACTCGACCAAGCCTCAAGGCTCATCAAACAGGTCGGTTGTGATCGTCTTCCCCGGGCGCGGCGGCTAGAACCGCACGAGCTACTCTTTGAGGCGTAGCGCCCGAGGGTGCTGCCGCCGGCGCACCGGGCAAAGGCACAACCCTTCACCCAGTGCCCCGCGCGCCCC